TGCGCAGTTAAGCTTAACAGTTGCCCCAGCCACCGCTCCCACGCTAACTGGGCAAGTTAATCAGATGCCAAGTTAATCAGATGCACACGGCGAATTATCTTGCGGGCGCACGAGCGGAGCCTCGTCCTCCTCATGGGCGAGTCGCTCACGCACCCGCTGCAGCTCCGAAGCGCCCCCAGACCCGCCTCCCCCACTCCCCGCCCCAGAGTGAAGGAAGTGAGCCGTCTCCTCGTCCGCCGAAAAATCGGGGTAATACACATCCAGTGTCGATTCGTTGATTTTTCCTGCTCTTGTGCCCCCCCCACCATTTTGGGGAGCCCCGATGTTAGATATCCCCCCCTGGGAGCCCCAAGAGGCTTCAGGAAGCCCCAGGTGGGGTCCAGGAGGCCACAGGATGAGAGGACACCGAGTCAGGAACTGCCAGGGGGCTTCACACGACGGCAACCCCAGAGCCCACTCGAGCCCGCAGAGCACAGAACTCTGCAGAAACCTATGCACACATCGAGGGATATTCGCAGAGAAACTCGCTCGCGCCAAATTGACCGATCATATTGCGGTCGCCCTGGGCGCATTCTTCAAATGCGCCAGACCCGCCATCAAAATGGGCAGAGTCTGAGGCCGAGCTGGAAGGGCTTACATCGCGAAAAGAAGCAACTCAATTCTTCTTAGTATTCTTCTTCTTCTTCCAGACTCCGTGCTGGCGCCCGTGCTGTCCCCAGGAGGCCCCAGGAGACCCCAGGAGGCCCCTGCACCTCGGAGCTCTGAGACGCCGCGCTCGAGGTGGTCAGGCCTGTTTCGCCTGAGACATCCTCGCAGCACGTCTCGCCCGAGACATCGTCGCAACTCTGGGGTTCTAGATGCCGCGCGCGAGGTGGTCCAGCCTGTTACGCTGGAGACATCCTCGCAACTCTGGGCTCCGAGATGCCGTTCGGGATGAAGAGGGGGTGGAGAAGGAGGAGGCATGTTCTAACATGCCATGCCAGCCCGCACTGGACGGGCACGCAATCGACCTTGGAAACCGCAGTGGGTGTAAAAACCCTGTTTGGGGATACTGCACTCTGGCTATAATGTATGTTTTCCGGGTTCTTCCCTTTTCCGTCCCAGAAGGGCCCTAGACGGCCCAAGAGGCCCCAAAGATCGGCCCAAGAGGCACTGGCATTCGGCTCTTACCATCACCGTGCCTGGGTTGTGGTTTAGAGGCTTATTGATGCTTCTCGGGCGCCTCTTGGAGCCAGTTTTGAAACCTCTTGCGTCTTCGTGGGGGCTGTTTGGGGGTCTCTTTTTTCACTTCGACTGGGCGACAAATCACTGGAGAAAGTCCGAGATCTGCATGCAAAACGCAACGCTGATGAGTCAAAGGTAGCGGCGGTGGTTCCAACCACACAAGCTCGCTCCTGACCGCTACTGCTGCGATGCAAAACATGCACATGGCCTGATTAAGAATACGTGGAAACGTCCACCACCTGCAAACGAAATACTGGCAGGTTGCTGGAAAAAAAGACATGCCAAGGCGCTGGCCGAAGGGGGGAACATCTGCGCAAGGGCCTCCCGCACGATCTCCGGAAGCTCGTGCTCATGCGAGCGCTTGTGCTTCGCCCTCCACCACCACCACCGCCCCCACTCCCCCCACCCCCCACCCACCAACCCAGACCAGCCCCGGTCACTGACAACTGGTTGGTATCGTTGCCCATTCCAGTCGCTTAGCACGGGCCTGCCTAAGCAACGTGCATCTGCTTTTAACACTTTGGCGCTCTAAATGAAAGCGGCCCTGCATGGAGGAGTACAAGGAAGAGGGGTCTCTTCCAGGGCTGTTTGGGGGTCTCTTGGGACCTCTTGGGGGCCTCTTGGGGGCCTCTTGGGGCCTGCTGGCGGGCTGGGGGTTCCACTTGGGGCGGAGGGCTCAACATATAAGTTAGAGTTCCCCCTCTTGGGCCCCTCTTGGGCTCCTCTTGGGGCCATCTTGGACTGTCTTGGGCGCCTCTTGGACCGTCTTGGGGCTCTCCTGGGCCGTCTTGGGGCTCTCTTGGCGGGTGCCCCTTGGTGAAGCGCGTTTTCAAGCCTCTTGGGGTTTCTAGGGGGCCGCTTGCGGGCCTCTTCTGGGCCTCTTGGGGGCCCCTCGGGAAACCGCTCTCGGAACATCGTTCAGGGTGTAGACGCGTAGCCTCGGACAGTGTTCTGGGAGCCTTCTGGAAAGCCTCCAGAGCATTGGGCTCGTATTTCCACCGTGCCTGGGTTGTGAGTAAAAGGCTTCTTGGATACCTGTTGGGGTCTCTTGGCATGCTGTTCGGGCGCCTCTCGGAGCCAGTTTTGAAACCTCTTGGTCTTGGGTCCTCGTGGGCGCTGTTTGGGGGGTCTCTTGGGACCTCTTGGGGGCCTCTTGGGGGCCCCTTGGGGCCTGCTGGCGGTCTGGGGGTTCCACTTGGGGCGGAGGACTCGACATGTGAGTTGGGGGTCCCCTTCTTGGGCCCCTCTTGGGCCCCTCTTGGCCTCTCGGGCGCCTCCTGGAGCCAGTTGTCAAGCCTATTTACGTGTGCTGTTTCCATACAAGCTCGGCAAAGTAACTGTGATGATGTAGAGACACGGAGAAAGAGAGAAAGAGAGAGACAGAGAGAGAGAGAGAGGAAAAGAGAGATGGACAGGGAGCAGAGGGGAGAAGAGAGGCAACTAGCATCCCTGCAGCGGCTCAATCTGATCGGCGACAGCATGCAGCGGGACCCTGTGGGAAAGGCCATCCCGCTGCGTCCCCCAGATAAGAGTCAACAATAAGATGCAGCGCCTGCCGAGCATAGCGCGACCCTTGAACATCTTGCACTTGGAATGGTATTTGAATTCCCGACATGCTTAGTGGGGTTATGGTTTTCTTCCATGCCTCGTCGCACCCGCGCTCACTCACCTCACCTCCCTCTTCCCCTTCTCACACAGCGCAGCACAGCACAGCACAGCACAGCACTGCTCAGCATAGCTCAGCACAGCTCAGCTCAGCACAGCACGGCACAGCACAGCACAGCACAGCTCAGCTCAGTACAGCAGTGCATAGTAGGCGTGGCATTTTCTCGACACCATAGGGGGTGCGCAGGGGGTGGTCCCTCAGCGCGGCCGCTATACACGACGGTCGTCCAGGGCATAGCAGGCGTGGCATTTTCTCGACACCATAGGGGGTGCGCAGGGGGTGGTCCCTCAGCGCGGCCGCTATGCACGACGGTCGTCCAGGGCATAGCAGGCGTGGCACTTTCTCGACACCATAGGGGGTGCGCAGGGGGTGGTCCCTCAGCGCGGCCGCTATGCACGACGGTCGTCCAGGGCATAGCAGGCGTGGCATTTTCTCGACACCATAGGGGGTGCGCAGGGGGTGGTCCCTCAGCGCGGCCGCTATGCACGACGGTCGTCCAGGGCATAGCAGGCGTGGCACTTTCTCGACACCATAGGGGGTGCGCAGGGGGTGGTCCCTCAGCGCGGCCGCTATACACGACGGTCGTCCAGGGCATAGCAGGCGTGGCACTTTCTCGACACCATAGGGGGTGCGCAGGGGGTGGTCCCTCAGCGCGGCCGCTATACACGACGGTCGTCCAGGGCATAGCAGGCGTGGCATTTTCTCGACACCATAGGGGGTGCGCAGGGGGTGGTCCCTCCGCGGCCGCTATACACGACGGTCGTCCAGGGCATAGCAGGCGTGGCATTTTCTCGACACCATAGGGGGGGGTGCGCAGGGGGTGGTCCCTCACCGCGGCCGCTATGCACGACGGTCGTCCAGGGCATAGCCGGCGTGGCACTTTCTCGACACCATAGGGGGTGCGCAGGGGGTGGTCCCTTACCGCGGCCGCTATGCACGACGGTCGTCCAGGGCATAGCAGGCGTGGCACTTTCTCGACACCATAGGGGATGCGCAGGGGGTGGTCCCTCAGCGCGGCCGCTATACACGACGGTCGTCCAGGGCATAGCAGGCATGGCGCTTTCTCGACGCCAGACGGGGTGCGCAGGGGGTGGTCCCTCACCGCGGCCGCTGGCTGGCTCGAATCTGTCCTCGATGGAGGATAGAAGGCTAGGAAGAGGGAGGAGGCTCAAGCGATACGGCGTTGGATGACACATAGAGGAACATTCGCGACGAGGGCTCAGGACGCAGAATTGCGCATATATTAGAAACTTAAGCAAACACATAAGATTCAAATTAAGTATGTGGGGTTGATCGGTAGCGTAATGTGTGCACCTGTCCTGGCACATTGCGTCGTCAAAATGCTTTCTCGCAGAATGCGTCGGCGCTGCTTTTGAAAACAGTGCAGCCCCAAACAGCATTTGCGCCACCTTTGCAGAAATCATATATGTCCTGCCCCGACTCTGGTGCACTCGAACTCGCCGTCAACGCGAAATAATAGACTACAGGCACACCAAAATAAACCACCATTTGCAGAACCAACTTAATGAGTAATGTCCAGTCAGTTTCTAACCCAGTTATGGAACCCATCAAGTCCTCATGGAAATTTTAGGTCGTCACTGACAAAGTTTCAAACTGAGATCGCCAAATGATCTGGCCCATAGCCCGAAGAGCAAGAAGCTCACCGCTTTCGCTTCGTGCACAAAGGATTTGTGGGCCGCTGCCCAATACACGTAGTATTCCGAATCCGTCTTGTTCATTGTCGTGGCTCTAGGAAAGAACTCGTCCAGGTGGCGGTCCTGCCTCATCATGAGGAAGAAGAAGACGGCTCCAGAAAGCTCTAGAATGCAGACGAGTCGGTTTTCTAGGACAGCTGGAACGACCAATAGCTCAGCCTGGTTGTTCAAAACACATGCGGTGTGAACAGCATGGCCGACTCCACACACCCCACCGCAAACGGACACTAGGAACAGCAGCCACACGGCGATCGAATGCCACATCTGTTCCGCCGAAGCCTTAGGACTAATTGCCGTGTCGCACGTTGTGGTTTCCGAAGTTGGCAGCGCCACGATGCCGAAGGTAACCAGCGCCATGCTCATCAGCACAATGAGGTTATGCCGCAGTTTTTTATTCATGTGCGCACACCAGACATAATTAAAAAATTGTCAAATGTAACGTCGTACAAATTAACCCCATGGTTCCACGCGTCTTCTACCAGCCAGCGGAAATACCGATCGCTGATGTTGGCAATGTCTTTCAAAGGGCCAAACACGAAGCAGAGGAATGAGGAGAGACCTATCACGCAAGCCACCCAGACAGACCTGTGAAACGGGTCGGACTTATCCCTGTGAAGCGCCAAAACTTCTGAGAGAGTTGACGAGGGTACACCCAGGTGGCTCGACGCGCAGATGTGCACTGGGTCCTGGAAGAAAGAAAAGTAGGCAGAAAGCTCCAATGCAACTCCTACGAAATTGGCAATGTATGGGTACCATATGAAAATGCAATTACTCCGACGGAAGAACCCCACATAAGAATCCTCTGGGCGAATCTGGAAAAAAACCATCACCGTCGTCCTCGTGGTTGGTGAGGCGTCCTGGCTGTCTCTTCTGCGTATGTTTCCTGTCGCCTTGGCGCGGGCCCCCCTTCCACTCCTTACGTTGTCCCCATCCTCGCCCCCCTGTTTGTTCCGCGCCCCGCCACCTCCTCCTCTTCCTGTTGCATGAGCGCGCATGTCGATGTTCATCGGCGCCGTCGCCGCCACGGCCAGCACAGGCGCGTTATCTACTGGTCACGTCGCGCAGCCGTTGGGACAACCCCGCGGGCCAGGCTGTCGGGACAACCCCGCGCGCGCAAGACCAAGCCGTTGGGACAACCCCGCGGGCTTCGAGCGAGGCGCAGCCGCGCTCAGGCGGAACGCAGCACGAAGCCCAGCTCTGCCGCGAGCTGCTTCGCCTCCGCCCTGGACACAACCGCCTGAGACTTCCTCCATATTCAGGCTTGAGGAGCCCAAAATTGACGACAGTTACAGGATTCCGATGACCCGCTCGGATTACCAACATGATCTGCGGGCCACATAGGGAGGGGGTTCCCGCCTGAGACTTCCTCACAATTCACTCAGAGACGAGGCTCCCGCCTGAGACTTCCCCCAAATTCAGGCTTGACGAGCCCAAAAGTGACGACAGTTACAGGATTCCGATGACCCGCTCGGATTACCAACATGATCTGCGGGCCCCATAGGGAGGGGGCTCCCGCCTGAGACTTCCTCACAATTCACTCAGAGACGAGGCTCCCGCCTGAGACTTCCTCCAAATTCAGGCTTGACGAGCCCAAAAGTGACGACAGTTACAGGTTCCGATGACCCGCTCGGATTACCAACATGATCTGCGGGCCCCATAGGGAGGGGGCTCCCGCCTGAGACTTCCTCACAATTCACTCACAGACGAGGCTCCCGCCTGAGACTTCCTCCAAATTCAGGCTTGACGAGCCCAAAAGTGACGACAGTTACAAGTTTCCGATGACCCGCTCGGATTACCAACATGATCTGCGGGCCCCATAGGGAGGGGGCTCCCGCCTGAGCCTTCCTCAGAATTCACTCACAGACGAGGCTCCCGCCTGAGACTTCCTCCAAATTCAGGCTTGAGGAGCCCAAAAGTGACGACAAATATAAGTTTCCGATGACCCGCTCTGATTACCAACATGATCCGCGGGCCCCATAGGGAGGGAGCTCCCGCCTAAGACTTCCTCCAAATTCACTCACAGACGAGGCTCCCGCCTGAGACTTCCTCCAGTTTCAGGCTTGACGAGCCCAAAAGTGACGACAGTTACAGGTTTCCGATGACCCGCTCGGATTACCAACATGATCTGCGGGCCCCATAGGGAGGGGGCTCCCGCCTGAGACTTCCTCACAATTTACTCAACGATGATGAGGAAGAGGATGATGAGTGGTGGTGAAGATGAGTGGTGAAGAGGATGATGATTGATTGTGAGTGGTGGTGGCGATGATGATGCTTGAATGAGGATGATGCCGATGAGAGAGTGTGAGTGAGTGTGAGTGGGTGTGTGTGTGTGTGTTCCTGTTCCTGCGCGGGGTGCCCAGAGAAAACAAGAACCCCACTTTGGATGTGGGGAATAATACCAAGGCCTGGCCGCGCCGTGTGAATGCAACAATTTATGGTACTGGTACAGGGTCGCGCAAGTGTGCCTGTGTTCGTGAGCGTCGGTCATCAAAGTCCGAACTTCTTCCTCGTCAGAGATCATCTAAGTAAAAGCGGAAACACCCGAACTCCAAAGTTGAAACGGCCTGAGCCACGAAGCTTGAGCCCAACTTGCTATGGAGCCAGTTTTGAAGCCTCGTGTGCTGTGCCTTGTGCGTTCTGCTTCACAGTCGTGATGCGCCCCCGCCTCTGCGTCAGGGTCGTGATGCGCTGCGTGTTGCGGCTTCGTGCTGTCGGTGATGTTTGCCCAAGCGCCGCGAGCGCATGGCCTTTGTGCTGTAGTGTACCAAACTTAGGCCGGGCATGTCCTCCGACAGGCGAATGTTGGACGAAATCACAATCAAACAACTACCCAGAAACGCTCTCACAAAGTCAAAAATAATAATAGTAATAGTAATAGTAATAGTAATAGTAATAATAATAGTAATAGTAATAGTAATAGTAATAGTAATAGTAATAATAATAATAATAATGAAACACCATCGTCGCCTGATTATTGTTAGTATGTTTGAATTCTCCTCCTGTAGATGGACATGCCCGATTGAATCACAAACCCGACGTCGTGATTGTTTCACAACGTGTGACCCCCGGATGTCTGGACCCCTTCACGGGGACCTCTTTTTCATCCCGAATCGTTTTCTTGACGGTCTCTGGCCCTGCGAGGGCCCCGAAGGACCAAAAATGACCTGCAAACTGTCCGTCGCGATGTTTTCCCGACGCAGGGGGGTCTGGATGGGCCTGGGCCCGCTTCCCCATCCGGGCCCGTCCAAGGAAGAACAAACAACTGCACAAACATTAACTGTTGGAGTTCCGCGCGGATTTTTCTGATCGGCGCTGGCTTTCTCTCCCTGGCGGCGCCTCCAACCCCCAAAAGTCCGCAAAGAGCTCCGAAAATGCATCTTTGTGCGATTTGATCTTCTTCGGTTTTCTCCCTCCCCTTCGGTGAGTGCCATGCACCGCTGAGCCGCTGCTCGCAGTGACGATATCGAACTCCTCGGCAGTGTCGCTCATTCCAGCAGGTGCCCCTGCATTCACTCCAGCAGGTGTCGCTGTTGTGCTGTCGGGCGACATCCCCTTGCTGCCATCCTCGTAGATGGCCTGATACCTTCGCCTGCAAGTTGCGCAAAGCGAAATCCTGATCGGCAGGCGTAGGGACATTCCCATACGTCGTGTTCCTGCGATGCCAGGTCTCGAGGGCGTTGCTCACCCAACACTGGATCGCGTAGGAAAACGTATCCTCGTTGATGGAGAAGCAAATGCCCTTGGTGTCCCAGGACATCATGTACGCGTGGGCGTCGCCAATAGCGAGTGCCCCCGCGCTGCTCGAGGCAGGTTGCCCTGCGGTTGGCTCTACGTCGGCCACCTCCTTGACGAGCAGGGGCGTATCTTCGCAGAGAGGATTGGCTGTTACAGTGAATGCCGTTGAACCATTATCCTCTGTTGCGACCCCATACTCGTCGACCTGGGTCGCCCAGTGCCCTGAGGGCGTCTTCATCAGGTTGCATACTCTGGCGCCTTTACCAAGGAAGAGCCTATACATCTCTGAGCCAGGGATGATCACCTTCTCGTGCCCCTGCTCCAGGATCAGGACAGCACGCATGTTAGACATGCTCCTTAGACCCAGGATAACAGGAAGGTTCTCGCCGGAACCTTCTGCCACGTTGGCTGAAGATGTGTCCAGTCTGACAAAAGCGGGCCTTCCCACGGAGTCGCCTCTCCCCTTGCATGCAATCTTGCAACGCACTGACTTGTCACAGATGGCCGCTCAATACCCACACCAGACACGCACGACCTCTTCGCCAGGTTTACCTTATTGATGTCGTGTCCGTGGGAGCGTGACACCCGCTCGAATGTCTGCGCGGTGCTTAGACCAATAATGTTGACGTCGCTGCCGATGCCCAGCAACACACCGTCTACCATGGCCCCACTGTCCGTTGCCAGGGCTAGCTCATGGCGTTCTCCAAATATCCCGGGCACGTCGGACAGCGCTGCGCCGCGCACGCCCTCACGGCGCCTCTGTTCCAGCACCCACTGGTCCCTTGTCAAGGACGTGAAGACGTTCATGTACCCCCTGGCCTCCTCTTCTGTGATGGGCTGCTTCTGGAAGATCCAGGCCGATGGGTACTCGCCGTACATGGGGATGCTGTGGACAGAGCGGCGCGTTTTCAAAAGTGTCGTCGTCGGCACGCACACCAATCTGCCCGTCCGCGTTGACCATCAGCACCACGGACGGCCATAGGGCACGCTGCCGCATGGTGCTTAGAGCCATTGCGAGCTCCTTTCGGTGGCCCTCTCCATGCGCCTCATCCACTGATCTTTGGCAGGTAACCCTGCTGGTGCTGCTGCTGCAGGTGTCCCTGGATTATCTGCTGATTCGGCTACCAGAGGCATAGGGGCATTTGTGGCGGGCGCTGCGGCTGTTGGAGCCTGCCCCACATTGGAGGATAACGCAGGGTGCCCCGCAGATATGGACGGTGCCCCGGCGGCAACTGTAGCGCCTGTCATCATCGCCGCGATGCGGCCGAGCTCTTCACGAAGATCTCTGAGCTCATTTGCCCTGCGGAGTCGTTCTACATGTCGATCCGTTGCATCGTGATCTCCAGCAAGGGCATAGTGAAACTCAGCTGCGACGAGGCCTACACCCCGGCAAACGGCACAGGGCGCCTCGCTCGCGGCACCTCCCAGCGCGCCTGCCAGCTGCCAGCACACATGTGCGTGAGCAACTCGATCCCAGCATTGCGCATGAAATATGTGGCCACACTAAAGCCTCCACACCTTGTCGTGGTATACGAAATGTTCCAGGCATATGGCACACTTAGTAAAATCACCATCGCTGATGATTGGTGGCGTTGCGATGGCCTGATACGCGTCTATCGATCAAGCGTGGACTCTCCAATCTCATACTAAATCGGTGGGACCGCAGGTGTCATCTGCTGCACCGCGGAAAAGTGCCCCCATGGCTGCCAACGCTGCTAAACTTACAGCGGGTTGCCCCGCAGGTGCAGGAGCAGCGGGTGCCCCCACACGATTCATCACGCGGCGCAGCTGTCGCTCCTGATTGCGGCGTTGGCGAGCCAGTTGCATTGAGAGATTGGCCTGCTGCGCCTCATGGATGGCCAGGATATCGGGACGCAGCTCTCCCATGGACGATGGTACCACTAGCTCAGGGCCACGGCGTGTAACCTACTGGTTCATGGGAGCCGCCAAGTACCAGTAGTCAGGTACTTGGCCTGGTACACCAGGTTCATACCCAGCGCCGCGCGTCAGCTGGGACCCGTAGAAGTCATCAGCTGTTGCGCGAACGCACGGGTTCTCGGGCTGAGTGCCAATGCGTGGGACGCCTGTCTCCTGAGCGTAGTAGTCAGGAAACATAAGGGCATCCATAGGTTGAGCCGTTTGCCTTTCAGCCACCGTTGGGTCGTACGTCGGGTGACTGAAGAATGCTGGAACGTACCCATTTCGATTGGGGTGATCTGGTGATGGAGTCGGATCTGGGATATATTCCCATGGAGGCGTTCAGCTCGCGTTCGGGAGGTCGATGCCATCCCGCCGCATGCTCTGCATAGCCTCGCGCATCTGCCAATGCATCCACTGCTGCTGTCCCAAGAGGCTCTCGGCCCTCTGGAAAGCTTCACGGTCGGTAGTGGTAGGTTGCCCTGCAGTAGCACGTGGCGCTGCAAATGGCGATGTCGGCTGCAAGGCCTGATAGAGCTGAGAATACATTCTGGTGCTTTGGAGCCTGGCCTGTAGACTGCTGGTACTCCCAGTGCTCTGTGGAGTTCCACATGGGGTCGCAGCCCTGCTCATGGGTGCGAGCGATGCAAGTTGCCCTGCAGGCACAAGCATCTGCTGCGCCCGGGCGCGCCACGGGTCGCATACAGCCCGTCGTTGGGCGTGCTCCCGTTGGAAGTCGTACCAGACAAATCAGAACTCTGGGCTTGAATCCATGATCCATCCGAGTCCCCCGCAGGTGTCCCCGCTGGGTATGCCTCTTGCATCATGGAAATCGAGGTATGATCGCCCTCTTGCGTAGGTGTCGGCGCAGGGACCATTAGGTTGCAGGGAGTCCGCGGCACCATCCATCCTCTGCATGTTGACGCATCGAAGGGACACTCATAGCAACTCGTTGGAATATTGGCAGTTGCACGCAGGTTGTTCTGCTGGCTGTCTCCGATGCACAGAGGATTGAGCCACACCTGTCCAACTCGATCGCACAATCGCACATGCATTGGATATTGCTAGGCCTGATGCCGATGAGCTGAACAATGTGGCATGGCGGGATCCTGCCGTCGCGGCCTGACGTCATAAGAACGTCGTTGGCAGAGCGCCAAGTCGGGATGTTGTCGCGAAGAATATTCTCGAGGCTCACCTTAATCAACACTTCGGACGCTGTCATGTCTGTTACCCGTGAGCATAGGGACTCTAAGCATTGAATGCCTGGATTGCTATGCCCATTCATAGGACGCAAGAAGTACGTCGGGTGGGTATCTCCGGTGAACTTGAATTTCTTGACCTGGAGCCTGTTCTTCTGAATACCTGATGAGTCGAGCAATCCGCAGAGGTCAAGCACCGCCAATGCCTGATAGACCCAATGCCGGCCTCGAAGGCACCACGGAATGGCGCCCACGTGGCGACGGCGTAAGGTCCCCCTGTCTGCGGGCGGCCAATTGTTCAGTACGTCTCCGAATTCTACCCAACCGTCATACTCGTCATACGATGTGACACTCGTGACGAGACGGTCAGAAAGCTTATCGTTGTGGAATGGCTTGTGCCGCGTGGCAGTAGTGGGCCATTCCGAGCATTCACGCTTGTCGGCGTCGCCCAATGGCGTCGAGCGGAGATGCTCAATCCGAAGAACCACCTTCGAAGGGCAGGTTCCTTCCGCAGAAAATGCGGACACGCAGACGTGCAAGAGCATCGTCATCAGCGTGTACGGCGGCACAGTCGATGCCACATTGCACCACTCTGTAGCGTTCAGACCCGTCAGTGGCAAAGGGTCTGTACGCTGGGTCGATCTTCATCTGGTTAACAGTACCCAAAGTC